TTGCTCTATATTATTTTAGGTCTTTTCATACTAAATTCATACAGAATAATTATAAGTTAATTAGTTAGTTTCAGGCAATGATAGTATCAGAATCAAAAAAAAGTTAATAGAAAAACTTATCATATCAATCCAATATGTATATATAGCCTGATATTTTGTTCTAGCTCAAAGCAGACTTGCTAATATTATTAGATCTTGATTCCTTTAATATATTCGAAATCTCATTATATTTTCTTGTTGTATTTTAATTATCTTATCAATAATAAAGCTCTCTGTGTCCTCATACATGTTAAAGTATAAACTTGTCAATAAGATTCTAGTAATCTTAAACCATGTAGCATCATTAATTGGGTTAACGATTAATAAACAGAGTAATAAAGTGAAATACCTGACTACTTGTATCTTCATATATGCTAATTGTTTACTTCTTTCGATAAAGCCTTGTAAAACCTCTTTGATAAGTCGAGTAATCAACACTATAATAACTTGCCAAATTACTAGGATTGTAGTCTTCATACTATAATCATTAAGTCCCTAGAATTCTAATAAAAGGTGAATTCTTTGTATAACAATTTTGTTGGTAACTGTGAGATAAGAAACTCAATTGAGATTCGAACTATAATATTGTGATTAAATTGAAAATTAAGAGATAAACTTTAGTGGTATAATAAGTAAATATGTTTATACAAGAATACGATCGATTTGTTAAAATAAATAATTGATATGATTAACTGTATACATGTTATCCTACTATTAATTATCAGATTCGGCAGCAAATACATAGAGCAGTTCTGGATTATTCTTGTAAAGTGTGTTATCCTATTGTATCTGCTGGGACACAATGTTTTAATCATTTTTGGATTTAGTTTTTTGCTGCGTATCCAGTATACGAGTACACAAAGTATACTATCTATAATTTTCAATATCTACAGCAGTGTAAAAATCTGCTTGAAGAGCATTTTCAAGTATTAATTACTACGTGTCAATATTTTCAGGATCTGGGTTTTGATACTTTACCCAGATATTTAAGTCAGGTATATGAAAGAACTGCACAATTTGATCTTGATTTTTTTGATATTTTATAGGGACAAGACACTGCTTCAGAATCAGAAGACTCAGACTACAGGTTAAAAAAGCTATTTGAAACTCAAAATATGGCCAATGCTCAAGATATCTTGAATTATCTCTAGGCTAATCAGAAGAAATCAATCCTTCTATGAGTTGAGCCATTTCTTGGTGACAGAACTCAAGATCTACAAACTTGGCTAGAAAGGTTTAAAAAAACAGCTATCACAAATAAGTGGAATAGTAAAAGAAAAAGAGACATCTTACCCACTTTTATGCAGGGTAATGCTGATGAGTAGCAACACACGTATTTTGCTACAAATACTGCAACTAATAATGCTGGTAATGATTGGAATGTTACTGTAGATACCTTCAAGAACCAGTTTTGTATTCAACATTAGAAGAATCAATGATTGAGAAATCTTGACATGTTGAAACAGCTTCCCAGTGAACTTGTAGAGGAATTAGAAGAATTCACAGATGAGAAAAATTGGATCGATGAGTTAGAAAATGACAAAGAAGTTAAGAAAGCTTTCTATATAGATGAGGCTACTGATGACGAACTATATTACAATCCATGAAGTGATGAGAATCTAGCTGCATATTTAGCCAGGTCTTTACCAGAATATATGAAATTAGATGCAAACTCTTTTGAAATTAATCATAAGCTAACATCTGAACAATGATATCAAGCTAACAATTTATTACTAGCATATATATCGAATTTCGCAGAAAAAATTAGTAAGGCATCAATCAAAATATCATATCACTCACGTGGATCAAGTCATTGTGTAAATTTTCAGTATAACAACTGTCTAAACCTACCTTGAGTAGGTTAATCAAAAATATTGGGAAGGTAATTTTGCTTATATTTAACTACCTAAAGCCTATCCTGACCCTAATATAGGATGACCCTAACTCTAAAGTTAATCAATAACATTATTAAGAAATATGAGTACCTCCACTTTAGATGTCACCCTTACTCAGATATATCGGGTAGGATTTTATACTAGATATATCTGTTGATCACCCAGGTAACCCACCAGATATACCCATCAGATAAGGGAAGGCCATTTATTAGCTGATATTTTTTTATTAAGAGGCTACCCCCCTCCCCTCTATCTGATTTTAAATAAAAAATTTTAATTAGCTAAAACTATATACCTGATAATTTTTTTTACCCCCTCCCCTCTAAAAAATTAGCTGATTTCTAACACTTCTCTAACCGGATAGCATTTTTTCAGTCAGGTACTATCACCATTCTAATGACCTGCTAACCCTAATTTTAATTTTTTTAAAATTTTTATAATAAAAAAAAGACAATTATTATTCATTATTTATCGCCAGTTGGATGCATTACTACCCCCTAATTAACTAATCATTTAGTTTGTTTTGATTTCACATTAACAAATAGTGACTAATTAGAGTTAGGCTAGAGTTTGGTTGTATAATGGCTAAAAACTTTTTTCTAACCCAAAATTTTGCAAGGAATTTTTTTTTTGTTAGAATAAAAAAAGCAGTTTCATAGACAAAATTTTAAGTTAGAAGTAATTTTTTAAAAAAATCTCTTTTGCTTCGATTTTTATGCTACACCTCATCAGCAAAATTTTTAAGCAGATATATATCGATATATAGCAGTTAATCG